ATAAAAGCACTGTACACAGAAAGATGTGTATGGGACTACACTGTTGTCGGGGCTACTAACCTTGATTTCCTTATCTTTCTATGCTCATTACTCAGCAGTATACGTTTTCTACCAAAATTGTTTGGCAAATGACATCTATTTGTACTCTTGAACATTCAGTGTAGTTTCGTTTGATCTCTGTGAGAATTTATTTTCTTTTTTTACCAGAACTCAAGTTATATCTTTAATGCAATCATTAAAAGGAAATGAAACCAATGTTTCGTAAATGATAAAATGTAAACGTAAATACCTAAATTAGACCACAGAGATGATGGTCAAATAGATAGCTTTCGATATTTCTAATTCTCATGCTACATTGTCAATGTCACGTTAGCTCCGATGAACACAATAGTAATTTTATCGGCAGAATATAAAATATAAAGTTCAAAGGGGAAGATAAAAATCCAAAACGGAAGCCTAAAGGTTATATCTATTCAGCTACCATAGAATCATAATATTGTCGTGCTTTCGTTTTCTAGTACTCTATTCTAAAATGTAATAACGCTTGTTAATGGCGTAATGGCAAACACGGTAAATGCACAGCTTACGCATAACGCCGGAAGGGGCGTGGTATCACGTTCGCACTTTAAATCAATCCATTTTCAATTGACGGACTGTCTGCTTTATAATGACCCTCTCATTGTTACCCTGCCAATGTCACGAGCAGAATTTCAACACGAAATCATAAAGTAAAATTGCTTTTAAAGCTTGGAATAGGAGGCGTAGAGGCGGACCGTGACATTTTGTGAATACATCTCGGCATTGTTTGGAAATAAAATTGTGAGAAGTAGTAAATGGCTAAAAATGCAATAAGCGCCAATAGCATTATTACAGTCAGTCACCATTAAGATATGAAGACCGCCTCACACTATATACGATCTGACTACGATCAGATTTGGGAAGACTTTGCTATATAGCATTGATGATACAAACTTTCAGACTTCTAAAATTATACTGATCAAGGATTTGAATACACCCGTACAAATTAGTGTTTTTTTTTTGTTTTTTTGTTTTTGTTTTTTTTTTGGGGGGGGGGTTCAAGAGGGGGGGGGGGGGGGGAGGGGGTGTTGATTAAAACAATAAATGTTGCTCCAATTATCCCCAATTTCTAGAATGATTTTGACACTGATTTATTCCTAATAGATCTAAATAATAGTATACATTCTGAGATGTTATTGAATAATAATTTGCGAGTGTTTATTTGGCGTGACTGCTAAAGCATGTGTATGTTACTATGTTTATCAACTAGGGGACCATACGTCCTTAAGTCATAACTGACGGTGATGAGGATTAATGCCTCACAAAAGAGCACTACTATAGCTGATCGACACGGTTTTGATCCTCACAGCTACGAGGCCAATGCTTTGCCACTGAATCATGGACTGTGCGCAGCGGGGGCTAGGGTAGGGGGCAGCCCCCACAAAATTAAAAAAAAACGAAGAAAATGCAATAAACCATCAATAATCATTGCATTTTTTCCCGGCCCCCAACAGGGAAACTTCCTCAGTACGGCCATGCATTATGGTTCGAGACATGCCCACAGTGTACACGTAGACAACAAAATAAAAAGATATTTAAAAGGTAAATATATTTTTTTTTAAAGGTCGGTCTATTGGGTCTTCTGTCTCCTGTGGGTGTTTCACAAGATTGAGTTGGACTTAACTATGGCAGGCCGTTCATGCCACGGGTTTTGCTCTCACCATTTACTGGCATTGGTCTCTCAAGGGACATACAAATCATGGTCACAAATCTACAGAATTTAGATTTTTTGATAATTCATTAATGAAGCAAAAAATATTATCTAAAGATCATAATAGAGAGAAAAATTGTGAGAGCAACCAGTGGCTTGAATGGCCTGCCATAGTAAAATCCAACTTAAAGTCGATCTTAGTCTTTGTGAAACAACCCCCCGAAAGTATCAAAGAAAAGTTGTCAGAAGGTCCTCAAAGGCTCAAACCCTGCACTTCGTTGACGGGAAAATGTAGACAACATTGTAGTCAGGCATTTCGGTACCCCAGTTAAAAACGCCGATTTACAACTAACCGTGTCTTTATCCAACAACGTGTAACCTGGATGTCCCTTCGGCGTATCATCCGTCGCGTTCGCCGTGACGATGATGACCTCTGGTTCGACCGTCGTCGTCTCGCCATCGCCGGCTTCGTGTTGGCGTTAACGAAGTCCACCCGCATCCAGCCAGATTGGTCCTGTGGATCGGAGTTATCGGAGCGCGCCTTGGCTACATGGTTCGAGACCCTGTTTGTCTCGATGGTGTCGGAGTGGGTGTGGAGCACGTAGAGCATGCAGAGGGAGACGACGAGGGAGTACCAGCAGATGACGAGGAGTGTGGCGTCACGGATCTACAGGAGGGAGGGAACAAAAAATCAATTCAATACAGGGTCTTAAACAAACATTACGCATAAGACATGCCGTGCAGGACGTGACTCTGCTTTGCAGTAAACAAATCAAAAGACGCATCACTGTAAAATTGAAATAATAATAAAGCATGTAAAATAGACTGAAATAGTTGTATCGTGAAATGAGTTACGTTTGAAAGAAAGACAAGTTACGGTACAATAACACACATAGAAAGCCTGTTGTTTAAAAAAGAGGAAAAGACACTCGATTCTTTATTATTATTATATGACATTATTTGAATATTGATAACAAACATTTCAGAGGTCCAAAATCAACATTTTGAGGGAAATCTGATAAATAACTTAGGGGCTGATATATACATGGTGGAGATGTCCGCAGTTTGTAATTATTTTAATTTAAAGGAGAAAAAAATACTAATAACAGCAAAAAAAATTGAGACGGGCAGAAAAAGGGAAAGAGAAGGGAACGAGAAACTAGGAATTATATAAAATTTCAAGTATTTAACCTGATGGCTGAAAAGTTGTATGTTTAATTAGAATAAAATGTAAATCTATGACTGAAATCCGAAGAAAGAAAAAATGTATCAAACGAAATGAAGGTTGCAGATATCCAGCATCGCTTCAAAGTAAACAAGTTTACTAGTTGCCCCTCTCGATCCCTTGTCCATGACTCGATTTCGGGCTTCGTTTCTTAGTTTTACTTTCTTTCTAACCTCTGTTTCAAATAAATAGTCATTATTCGAACAATCATCCACTGCGCTTCCGAATTACTATACAATGATTAATAGTCGGTAATTATGAGGGGGGAGTTGGCAGTTTAGGCTTGGGGGATCAAGCAACATGGAGAAGAAGAAAAAGAATCTTAAATTCGATCATATCATGGTAGTGGGTATGATATTCAGAAAGCACTGGTATCGTTGGGGGCGGGGATGTCCATGGATGAAATACGAATTAACAATGCAATGGATTTAGAAGAGAATGTTGGAGGGGTGGTATGTCATCATTCCTCGTTCCATCTTTCAATTCCCTTTTTTTAATATGTCCTTTTGTGCCAACCATTTTACCATTTTATTTTGCGCCTAATGCCCCCCCCCCTCCCCGACCCACCCCACCCCCACTCCCCGAACAGCGAATCGAAAGAATTCAACGAGTTACAATAGTTACAGCGAGTTATGTCGCGTGGAACCTTACACAAATTGATTTTGTTGAGTGTTCAGGACAATGTTTAAGTAGAATGATTACAACAGAAAAGAAAACATACAAATCATAACAATCAAATAAGGAAACGTAATTAAGATATTATGAACGAAAAGAAATTTAGATAGGGCCTACTCAAAACAAACATTATGGATTCTTCCCCCTTTTCTTTTCTTCTTCCTCTTCTTTCTTTCCCTTTCTCTCCTCTTTCCCTTTCCCTTCTTTTCCTTCTCTCTCTCTCTCTCTCTCCTCTCTCTCTCTCTCTCTCTCTCTCTTTTGCGGAAGGGGGGGGGGGGGCAAGGCCCGCTCACCCCCGCTGGATCCGCGCCTGCATCTACATATTATCTACTAACGTTAGACCCTAATAATGGATCTAGAAGATTGACTGACCTGGTCTCAGTGACGGGTAAACTTTTTTTTTCTCAATTACTTGGTCTATAACCATGAAAACCGTCTAATTTTAATTTAGATTTTCAAACAGTAACAGTTACGACCTAAATTAGGCCTAAGGCCAAGGGCTGTACTCTACATTTTAATAACAAATTGAACGTTAACGTTAGACTTAACTAAACTGTTGTTCTCTGTGATACAGGTGGGATGGGAACACTTTTTTTTTTTCAACAGCGAAAAAAATCTTTCCCCTTTTTTTTTTTTTCCTTCTTTTTTTTTTTCTTCTTTTTTTCCCCCCTGGATCCGCCACTGATCACGGGGATAAAAGTATACAGCTATGTAACAAGTAAATTTCTAAGAGGGAAAATGCCGACTTAAATAAATGACAATGATAAAATACCAAGGAATTTAGGAGTTTCATGGGTACCAATTCAATGGAAATTTGTATTAAATAAGAGCCCCCGTCAGCACTAAAAATTAATTTGAGCCCTGCTGATATGTGATTGTATTTATTTACTAATAACAAAATCAAGTGACTATGCATCACAATATTTACAATACTACAATTTTGTGAAACGTTGGACAAGTCTATATAATTTATATTAGTAATGGACATTCCAAACACACGTACATGCTTTCCGAGGTTTTTCGCCTCATTGTGCTTTTTGAAATTTATTTACTGGACTGTTATATTTGTTTATTTACTATATTGTCAATTAGAAGGAAATAATTATTCAAATCGTGACAACAGCAAGAAAAATGGGAGAGGCAAAAGGTAATACACACCCTCCCTGGCCAAAAATAGCCCCCCCCCCCATGTTGATCCCCCCAAAAGTAGTGCTCACTACCCCCCCCCCCCGCCCCTACCCCCCCCCCCCCCCCCCCCCCCCCCCCCCCCCCCGCTTATTCGGCCGCCGGCGCAATTTTTTTTTACACGCTAGCCTGGCCATTTCTATGATGAACACCATGGAAACGACTAATATTAGTCTAGCAGCCTACATGCGAGATGCATGATGATACACAATCATGTACATCATGCTGAATATTCACGAATTGGGCCCCCTCCCGCGCCGCCGGCTGGATCCGCCCCTGCACCCTCCCATCATTCAAGGACCGTATTTCCTCACACGCCATCCACCGTTTCCCTCCCGTTACCCCAGGAGGTGTCTCACCTCCCTGCATTACCCCAGTGCCCACTTACTGACCTGACCCTTGCTCTGCCCCTGCTCTCGAATGTGCCGAAGTTCGAGCCAGTGCCCCCGGGATCCCGCCCATTGTCAGCCAATGGTATTTGATACAGTAACCCAGCACATGCGGTGGACCAAAACTCAATAAATTTTCATCCAGGAGTCGTTGAATTTCTGAATCACTTTTATTTGAACAGCATTCGTCTAAGTAGTAGATGGTTTTCGTCAATTTTGGGTTGTGGTTTGTTTTGGGGTGTATTTCAGTGGTATTTTGTACAGTAGCCTGTACAATCATGATGGCATGGACCAAATTCCGATAAACTCTATTCCAAACCAAAGTCGATAAACTTTCATTCTGGAGTCGATGAATTTCTGAATAATACAGCATTCGTCTGACGGCAGACGGTTTTCTTCTATCCTGTTTTTTGTTTTGTTCTGGGTTATTTTTCCAGTGGTATTTTGATGCAAACGATCAATTACATGATTAAGTCATCGATCTCTGTGTCAAATAGTCACGTGCAACGAGAGTGGTGGAGACATAAACTGTTTTGAATTTAAATTTTAAAAAAAATTCGCAGCCCAGAGGCGTCGAAGACCTTTTATGAAGATTGCATTGTTGCATTCTCCCTTTCCATTATTAAAAGAAAGAAAATTCCTTAATTTTTTGTTTGTTTGGATATATTGTTTAATATCCATATATAAAGCATACATACTGCATGCATGGCCCTACCGTATTTGCCGAAATTTTTTAAAGCAAATAAAAAAGGAGGACATCAATTTTCAGGGAAATTGTGAACAAAGCTCCTTTTGGGAAACAAAAAAACATGGAATGGGGGTTGTGATCTGATTGACTTGAGAGGGTGTTAAAGGCTTCTTCAGACACAGTCAATTCAGCCTTTATCTGTTGAAAAGTTAAACATTTCTCCAACGATTCTACAAACCAACCATTCATCATCATTAGTTTGTTTCAAATTTTAACAATAATTGACCGAGCTTGCATGCGGAGCTTCACTCTCTATTTTCTTAAAATTCAAGCCCTCAAGAAATAACTTTTATTCCCCTCTCGCACATTGTGTCGCTACTCCTTGTGCTCATAATGTCATTTCGGAATGCTCACAATGTGTGACGTCACAATGCGATCTGGTACTGAAAGCAAACGTCGTTGTCAATGGTAATGACTACTCTTTTGACCTCAAGGTCATATCATGTTGCGTGGTAAACAGTTTAGATCTAAATAATGCTATCCGGGTTAAAGGTCTTATCACTCAATCCAACCATGGACCTACTAAGTCCATGATCCAACCAAGAAGTTACCAGTAACTTCTTGACCCAACAGGTTTTCCATGGAAAGGATAATACACTATGAATATGACGAACAAAGAAAGCGGACAAAAATATACAGTTGCTCAGGTAGTCAAAGGAACATCCATTCACTGCTATTATGTAAAAATGTGTAGAACAGGTGTCACATGCATATTCACCTGTTCTACACATTTTTACATAATTATAGCAGTAAAGGGATGTTCCTTTGTCTACCTAAGGAAATGTATATTTTGTCCGCTTTCTTTGTCCGTCATGTTCATATATTGATACATTTTTATTTACATTAACAGAGTGGGGAAATCGTTGATCACTTCACGGCCTTATAATTACGTCAGTACAAACTTAAGTTTGTTAAAGCATGGGTGTCGATCTGTCATCTGTCAATGATACCTATTCATCAGGGGGGGATGATCTATTCATTCGTCCCCCCCCCCCCCGATGAATAGGTATTACGTAAGGATCGACAAGTCTGTGCACGCCATCTTTCTCTACATCTCATAATTTATACAGTGTCGGCTGCCAACAAGCAGACAAGAAGATCGTATGAGAGCGCCTACATGAGTCTGCAGCCATATTTAGTTACTGCATACTTCATAGCCTATAGCTATTGTTAAAAATTTTAACAGCTACCTTCAATGTATAGTGTGTGTGTATACACAAAATTATGATATATTCAATAATATCCGAACTCTCTAGCAAAGTAATCTCCGACTAGTAAACACATATATGAAGTTCCTCACGTTCGCAATCTGTATGGATCATGTTGATCAGGCCCTATACTGGCCAAATGATTGTCATTGATGTAATAACGGATGAAGAAAACTAACGAACTGTTGAGTATCTAAAAACGAAGAATACAACTTTAATTTTATTTTATCAAGATGA